CACTATTATTGTATAATACTGTATAAGTAGTATTGTATAATTAACTCAAACCATTGTGTATTTAATTCGAATCATTATGCATTTAACTCAAATTTTGCTACAGTAGGCTCTGTTCTTAATTATGAGTCATCCTTAAACTGGGCGTTCTTAACCCGGGGACTACCTGTATTTAATATGAGGACCTGAACCAAGTTTCTCCAGCTTTGTGCCTTATAGAGTTGGGACTACAACCCCACAACTCTCAGGTAGCATAGCTATTCTCTGTACTAGCTAAGAATTCTGGAAACTGTAGTCTCAACAAATTTGGAAGAGAAAATTATCAGTTTCTCTAGGTCAGCAGTAATTGAAAAAAAGCTGCTTTTTACCACAGATTACAACGCTAACCCTTGACATCTCAGAATTTCATTGACCTCCTTTATGTCCTGGAAAAGTTCAAAGGCTGTCTCTAATTCTTACTTTTGTGAATTTTCTCTGGTTATTTTTCCACCATCCTGCCTACCATAATACTAATACTATAGAAATACAGAGTATTAATATAGCAAACATGCATTAACAAGGAAGGGGGGCACAACTTCCATCAACTCAAAGGCCCCACTAGACTTTTTGTGGTATGTCAGTGCTGCACTTCAGAAGTGGATGAAGCCAGGACCTGTATTGAAGTTTTAAATAGTGAAATGGTGTCTTAAACATCTGCAAAGCTTAAGGCTCCCAGGGTACTTCTTAAATTTCCCAACACTGAAACGAAAGGGCCCAAATTTTTGACCCCATCCATTCTGGGTGAGCTCCAGGGCTGCAAAAAAGATGTTGATAGAATGACAGACAGACAGACAGACAGATAGAATGAGATAGAAAAAAACCACATTTTTTCATCCTCATGTAGGTGTGTTGGCACCTTAAAATCAAGGCACCGGCAAGTATGTCTTCCAATGATCGGAGTCCACCAGACTCTTTGTGTTAGGAAGGAAATTGCAGTGGGGTAAAAGGTCATGTTTTAACCCACATGTAAGCAACCTTGAAAAGCTATTTGACTGGGTGGCACTATAATCCAAATAAATAAATAAGTGAACTAAATATATATAAATAGTAAGCATGGATTACAGAAAAGGAGGTCAGGAAATGCTAGTGGATATTCAGCTCACTCAGGCATCTTGGAATCTCAAAAATGTGCTGAAGATTAAAAATGGGGCAGGATTTTTAAATACACATTGCACATATTTTATCCACTTACAGATGAAAGACCAATATACCTTGGTTTGTTTAATGCTTTCTTTGGTTTTGATGTAATTTGAAGGCAGTTCTTCCTAAAGATGTATTGTATAAACCTGAAATTAGCAAAACAAAAATCAGTATATGAAACACAGATTTAAGAAATCAACACTTACATGTGGTTCCCCTCCTCCCAAACACCTCTCTAAGCAGAATCATAATTACTTACATTCTGATTTCATCCATTTCAAACTTGAAAAATCTTGAAAAGGGTAAAGCTTGAAACATATAAGGGACAGAAAGAAGAGGGAAAGAGGCTTGCTGGCACTATTATTCTTCACTGTATTTGTGTTTTTAACTTTATGATAGCTGCCCAAAGTCACTATTGCGAGATGGGCGGCCATATAAATCAATATCAACCAACCAACCAACCTAGTAATGTAGTTCAAAATACTGTCTTGGTCTATACTACTGCATACTTTTAAGGGCAGCTTTTGTTTGTATTTTTTAATCTGGTGCCTTGCTATGTGCATTTTAAATAAAGTGGTATAGAAAATAAAATGAAATCAACAGTGCTTGGAAAATAACTTGCATTGTTTTGTTTCTTGCCTTCCTCTGAGGTATCTCCAAAATATTTCCCATGTAGTGTGTTTATTTTTCCTCAAATAATAATGTTGAAATGTGTCTAATTCAATTATTCCCATTACATTTGAATGAGTTTCCCAAGCTATGATATTTGAACAGGTTCTTTTAATTGCTGATATTAAGTGTCAATCATTCGGCTGCAAGATGGGAATGTGTCTTGAGGCAGAGGTTTCTCTTTCCTGTGCATCAGTCATTTAATCAACAGTGAAAACTTTACTGGTACATCAATAGCCCCTTTTGATATGAAACACTGAAACAAGAAAAATAATTCTTCAAAGTCTATTTTCAAAATTAGAAAGCAGAAAATACAAATACATTTTGTCTAGTTACAGTTATGAAAATGATCAGCCCATTGTATACACAATACTGTCATTTCTAAAACATGTTAAAAGAAATTAATCTAAAATACAATTTTCTGTTTGGCCAACTTGAAAATAATTCTCAATTGTTGTTGTGGTTTCTGTTTTAAATTTCAATTGTATTGAATGGGTTCAGTTTTTTAAGTTACAGTTTTAAATACACCGCAGAAAGAATTCTAAGGCTGCCTGCATTCAAGTCTAATCTCAAAGAAAGTTCTTCCTCAAGGGTTTAAGTAGTAATTCATAAAATGGAAAGAATAATAAATATTGTGCCTTGACTCATACATGAGCATAGACAGATTTTGTACACCTGGGTGTAATTTTAGTTAATTCACACAAGAGACAGGTTGAAAGTTTATTGTTTAGATAGGAGAAAATGGCTTAAATCTCATATTTGCAAAAATGATTACATTACCTTAAATGAAAACGGTATTTATTAGTTACTTCAATAAGCATTTCATTTATAAAAGTATTTTAATAAAAAAGTTATCTGAACTTCCATACAACTTAAAATACATAAGTGAGGGAAAGTACTTACTTTGATTTAGATGTCTTTTGGAAGTAATAATTATTGGCTTTTTACTCACCTATGTAAAACATTGTATTTTTGTAAATGGATTTCTGGCCACTTTAATCCATTTTTTCCATTTCTTTAAAAAAAAAACATAAAAAGTAAGCACAGTCAATCAAAGAATTTTAAGGTTTATTTCCTCTTTAGAAATGATTGATAGCCTTTTAGATTTACAAGCTGACAAGTTAAAGGGTGCTATTGGTATAATTATATTCTATATTCACAGTCTTTCAATTTAAATGTTCTTTTAAAATCATGAGATTATCATACCTGTATTTTGAAAAGTAGGCCAGTCAGTTTGGGTTGGTACACAAATTGCTTCCATTAGCCTTGGGACCTATTTGAATTTAATACACTTCTTTAAAATCGGCAGTACTTTCAATGTACTTTTGAAACTTAGGGTAATGGGAAAGCATTTTTATAATATGTGTTAACTTTGTTTTTAATGTATGGATGAATGTCACAAACACAAATAGTGTTACTCAGTCTAAAAGATTTTTTTTTAAATCATTAATCTTTTTATCTATGGAAAAACATTTTATAGTAGGTTATTAGGGAATGAAGGAACACATTTTAAGTGTGGTGGAGGAAGTTGCCTCTCTTATTAAAAACAACAAGAAAAGCTTCCAAGAATCTATAAATGAATCCATTTATTCAGCTATATAAAGTAACAAGTTAATCCAAAATTTCACTAGAGTAATTGCAATAAAGATTCCATTTATTTTATTAATTAATTTGAACAATAGGAAGGTTGGTTTTTAGATCTGGTTATTTGTTTATTTCCCTAGCAAGATACTTGCTTAATTGCATGACATTTGCATGAAAAATTGCATGAAAAATTGCATGAAAAGGCATGAAAGCTGGCTGGGTGACTTTGGGCCAGTCACTCTTGATGTCAGACTAGGGAGACAAGCTGGCTGGGTCAATTCCTGTCGCAAGCAACGGATCAACATTCGGTTGATCTGAAAAAAATGGATCCTGCATCTGTGGGAAAAACGCTAGGAAAAAAAATACTTCCTTAATTGCAAATATCCCATTGAAATTTAAAACATAGTGACACTTGATATTAAAACTCCAAAGAATAAACTCTGACTCAGAGTGGAGATTATTGGATATTTAAATAATAGAGAAGGATAGTGACTGAAACAGGAAATTGGTACCGTCTGTGAATTCTGCTATTTGAAACTGTCTACTCTCCCTTGCTTATCACGATGCTGACCCTGTAGAATAATTAAGAATTCTTGTCCAGAAATACAGCTAAGTAACTATGGAAATTGGATAAAAGTTCATGAAATAAAAAGTGTTATACTGGAAAATGTCCAGTAGGAGGTAGACACTATGATCGAACAGTTGAGTATGCTGCATGCAGTGCTGTTACCTAATTTTATTCATCTATATATAAAAATATTTTAATCATCTCCAAAGGCAAACACCTTCCCTAAAGAAAAGTGGTTAGCAAAAACTCTTACCTTGCCATGTTATAAATATGCTTTTCTTTTTCCATGCCGATAGATTTTTAAAAGTTCATTTTGTTTTAATTTTAGAATGCTTGGGGTCTTACTGTGTTGGCATCTTCTGATGCTATGTAATAGATGTTATGGATTTGGTCAAGCTGCTTGTAGGATTTTTTTTTTTTTTTCCTGAAAAGGAAAACTGGTCATAAATGTGCATGTTAATAAGTAAAACCATGCTGACCAAATTTTCCATGACTTTAGGTCACCCTTTATGAAACAGGACATTAACACTACTAATTACTTACCAGATAGAAAGTTATCATATGGCACAGATGTTCAAGATTAGAAGTTGCCATATTAGCAATTGGCTATATGCGGTTTTTAAGCCTTCTTCTGGTTCTTCATATATGTCACTTCTTGTGACTTTTGCTTTAAGTAGTATTGGCTTCAGCCAAATCTCTTTCTTCATTTTCCATCCATTAACCTCATAAGGAAACTGGACGTGGCTGGGTAGATAAATGGGATCAAATATGGAATAAAAGTGAAAAATGACAGGGCCTTTTTGTTTGGTTTTGTTTCCACCTCCTAAAAGATTCCTCCCAATAAATGACGTTGGAAAACTTGAAAACAAGTAGACTAGAAAGCCTTTAGGAAATGAAATTGTTCAGACCTTTCAGAACTGGGATAGCTTCTAGAACTCAAGAATTTTCAGTGGAGCATCTTGCCTGGTTGCCTATTGCTTAATTACCATGTTTCTTGTTCCAGCTTTGAATGAACCAACCATTGACTATGGCTTCCAAAGGTTACAGAAAGTCATCCCAAGGCATCCTGGTGACCCTGAGCGTTTGCCAAAGGTCAGCAAAATGTTGTATATGGGTGGGCATATGTATGTATATGCATTTATGATTAAGTCTATAATGCATCACTTTTTTCAAATAATACTTTAGCACAATATGCAGTCAGCAGCTATAATTGCAATACTGCAGCAACATGTTCTGCATGAAGCTTGCTTATATCTGGTTCACCTGTGTTGCATCCAGCTGTACTCTCATTAAATACATCTCATTAAATGGTGGCAACAGCTACCTTTACTTACTAAGCCATGTTCGAGAAATTATTGTTACATATAAAAGCACTAAATCATTCACGCATGAAGGTCAGACTCATAGCTCTTCAAACAATTGGACCATGCAATACTGTTGGACTAATATAAGCTTGAAAACGTGGAGGAAGATACAGTTACTTCTGACCAGTGTGGATGGTCAGTAAGATTCCAGGTTTTCTATCCTGTGATTCCATTATCAAAAGCCAAAGCAAGCAAATAAGCAAACTTAGTTTGTAGTTTTACAAAGTCAGTCTTTAGGGCTTCTTCTTACATTACATAAACATTTTATTCATTTATCCATCCCTCCATTTAATCATTCCACCCACTCTCATAAACTTCAGTTAACTAACATAAAATGTTAATGATAAATTAACCCAGTAATTCAATATCAATAATAAAATTAACAAATACCAATTAATGCTAAAATTAGTTCCTGTTCAAGAAAGATCTCAAACCCCAAATGCTCAATGGAGAAGCCAAGTTCTTATGATTTTCCAAAATATTACAGTGGGTAGCATTTTCCATAAAGATGGAATGCACAACAAACAAAGCCTGTCTCTGGGCTCTTGTTTCCACAATATCCCCAAGAAGAAGGAACCTGAAGTGTCCCCTCTTGGGCTGACTGAAGAGGACAAGCAGATCTCCTTCACAGAATATTGTTCAAAATACAATCATTGTTACTTCTTAAAACTCTATTTATTTAAGTAATTGCAGACAGTTGTTACGTTCATATCCTGGTGTGCTCTAAAGCATTTTACTGTCCTACTTTGGATCTTCTGTAAGAAAGGCATTTAAAAATTGGAATATGTGCTTCAGAAGCTATTAGTGTATAATACCTGATTCAGCCATAAGATAGCCGTATTCATCTAGGTTTTCTAAAGCAATAACAAGGGACTTTATATTTAAATATTTGGTTTGGGACTACCTCTTTAGTTGAATACATCTGAAATATATTTACTATGTTTGGTTTTTTAAATTTCATAATTAAAGGAGACCAACACTCATCAGCTTCACCTTCATGGATCCTTAGGTAGAGATAACAACTGTTGGTGTCCAATAGCATCCAGAGGGAATGTTGCTGACCAGCATTCCCCAATTCCTGGTGTAGAGTTCCTATATAAGAGGAAACATGTAGGAAACACAATGACATTTGATGAAACAAAGCATGTGAATACTTGCAATCTGGATTATGAGAATTGTACTATGATTATAGAAATGGTTTGGTAACAGATGCTAGGAAATACTAAAAAAAATCAAATCGGTCAACATGAAAGCCATAAAGCCTTGTCAACGTACTCCAGCAATGAGGGTTTAAGATGTATTGATTGTATATATTGTACTTATTATGTTTCTGTATAATATTTTATTTTATACAGACAAAATAAAATAATCATTCAGAGAAGTCTTCCCCAACAGGCAGTCTCAAGATAAATTGGGCCTACAATCTCCAGTCTCAGAAATCTGGGAGTAACAGTCCCAGTATTTTTGGAAGGCTTAAGAGGGCTAATACATTGCATGTATCAGGTAACCTGAACTGAGTTAAAATTGACAATAAAAGTTATTTGCATGGCCATCCATTTTCATGAATCCATAAACAAATAAAGCACATCTACTGTATTCCTGTGCTGAACATTCATTGTGAATTTGGAATTGCACCTGAAATTCAAGACTCATTTTAGAAAACAGAACAAATGGCTGCTTCTCAGCTTCTTCACTTTTGAAATGAAGGTTTGAATTTCTATCTATTTTAGTTTTAGAGTAATAATAATGGATGCTATTTGTGTGTATTTTTGGGAAAAGCTAGCTTGTTAAATTGAATAGTACTTTGGTAAGATGTTTGAGTGCTTCCTCTGAGAGTATTGGTTCAGAGAGTGGTTAATTCCTCAAGGATTCAAGGTTGAATTCGTGTTTATCTTTTAGATGGGCCAGTTAAAAGACTGCCATTAGAAGCCTGTTGTGTTCTTTCTAGAAGCTGGAGCTTATGTGGCCATATGTCTTATCATTTGGTAGTCTGAGAAAGAACAATAAATATTGGAGAGATTCTACTCCAAAATGAAATATGAATGTGATGAGGACTCTTTCACTTGCTATTTGCTTTTTACTCTTTTGCTAATTACGTAGATACATCTTGTGAAGTTGGGCACTTACAGTATATCTACTTTTCCTCTATGACCTTGGAAATATCTTCCTTTATAAAATAGGCCATCAGTACTACTTCCCAATATAGCTTTCATAGTGATTTAAACAAGAACTAAAATCTCATGAATTGTCTACATTAGGCATTATTCTAAAGCCACAGTCAGAGGTGACCATGTTGGTATTGTGAAAAGTCCAAAATCAGGGATAATTCTAAAACAATGACATTTTGACAGCTGAAAGTCACAGCCATATTGAAATTGTGCAGGAGAGCTTTTCTTCTTGAAGGTCAGCAGAAATATGTAAACATTCCAGGGTTTTTTCTAAGTGGGTTAGTGTTTACTCAACAATTGATTACAACAGATGGTGCAATTTAGAAACTATGGTTAAAAACTTTGGTATACAAAGGATAGAAAGAGTGATGTTCATCACTTTGTTCCTTGAGATGTGCTTGACCATGTTCTTCTAAAAGCAAAAGACCTAGAGATAATGATTCTGATCTTTGGTGCAATATGTAGTTGCTTGGTTGGTGCTTAACACAAACAGTTTGACTTAGCCCAAAGCACAATTTCTATCTACAAGAAACTGAGATTTTCCATCAGAAGCTTATGTTAAGCCCTATAAGCACCATCTTACAAAAGTGCTTTCCAGTGGATAATAGTGTTTGAAATAGTGTGTTGAGGAGAGGTTCAGAGCACATAAAAGTACTGAGTCAGAAATAGGTAGCTGCTTTATATTGAACAGAGCCTGTAGATTATTATTGCCTAGACTGGCCAGAAGTGGTTTTCCAGGTTTCTGACAAGGGTCTTTCCAGTGGTTTGGTTCCCAGGGATCAAAACCTGGGATAAAACCACTGAGAGATCACTGTTCTCCTTGATTGAACCGACTACTCATTTGACAAATGTAATGCTAAATCTTTATATATACAGTTATATGCAACGAAATGATAAAGCATTTGGAATGATGCTAATCCCATAAAGGCATTTTCTTCTTAACACAGTAGTTCCTTTGGAAATGTATATGCCAGAATTTTGAGGAAAGCAACAAAGACTGCATTTGTGTATTTTGTTCCATGGAGCTGAAAATATCTAGTAAATTGATCCTGTGGGAGTAATAAATACACATTACTTTATCTTGTACTTCATGTCTTATACCCCTGAGCCTTGATAGAACAACACCACTTAATAGACTTTAAAAAAGAGTAATTACAGTCATTGGTTGTGTGATTTTTCAGCCCTTCCAGCCCTGCCTGACCTTCTAATTTAGCTTACCGTGTCTAACTAATGCATTTATATTCATCTTTTATGAAGCATGTGTAGTACAAAATTGACTTTGCAGCCTTTAGCAAGCTGTCTTACTAGGTTGAATATCTGGTTAGTCCTACATTCTATACTGTGCATCTGTACAGAAGAGTGAGAGATAGGCTTGGTTTGGGTTTTTGGAAGTGCCATTCAATTATTTATTTTTATCCTTTGGAAATTCTAAATAATATATATCCTACTTTCCCACCTACCTTCTGAAAAGTATTATACATCCCAATATTACTTACAGCCAAGCATAAATGCAAAAAGATGCATGTATTTCTAAAAGGGTTATCGCAAACATTTCTACTTGTTGGAAATAGTTAAATTTCCTGACATTTCTTGTTCTCTTTTAAGAATGGCGGTTGGATAAGGCCATCCTGTGCTGATCTGTACACAAGGTTGACAGCTTAGGATGAATGATGATGCAAAATGTTAAATATGCTGTTTTGTCTAATTCGTACATGTGCACATTAAGAAGTAGCTTAAGAGAAGGCTGGAGGAATTCCCTTCTGGAAGAGCCCCTGAGCTAGCAAACACACAGACCATGCTCTCTGCTGTAGTCTCCCATAACTTTCTGCCCGGTTTACTTATCCACTGGAGCACAATTGTTTTCCACGCATTTCTTTTCCCACCATATGGTTTCCTCATTACTATACACTAAGGGTCCATATGGGGAACTTGTGAAGTGAACTGTACTCATTTTAACTGCCAGATGAGCAGCAAGCTTAGCTTAAGTCATCTGCTGCCTTTATGTTGTTATGGTAACAGAGCACCAATAAAAAATTCTAATCTACTGTAAGTGTCTCGGATCACGGTATTTTAAATGCTTGCCGTAACTGTCCTCTAAAGTGAGAGTGCTTGTTCCTCTGCTGTGACAAAGGGTTATTGCCAGTTCCAGCAGGTGGCAGTAAAGAAATCATCCTTTTTTTTCCCTTGCAGAAGTCACATAATTAGAAAGCAGCGTTCTGTAACAAACAGATTGGTTGATGTCTTTGCTGAATTTTGTTAGAAGGCGGGCCTTTTCACACGGGTCTCGAAAAGGACTTTGTTGCAATCCTGTCACTCGTTAAGCAACAGGTTTGGATGCTTCTCTGTGTGTGTGTCTTTCCTTATTTTGAATTATTCCTTCCAACACTAGGCTAATTAAGAGCACCTTAAAGCAATGGGAGTAGACAGCAACATCTTTACATATAAATCATTTCCACCTCCACAGGCCACATGATATGTTGCATCTCAGTCTCCCTGTCTGTATTGAAAGTGAATGTTTGCAGTCTTCCTTCATCAGTTCACATTAGCCTCATGCTGAATA